TTTTTTATGTAAAATACTTCCTGATAGTTGCCTCTCCATACTCAAATGCAATGTAGTTAAAATATATTAAGGAACCATCATAAAATTAGGACTATTTCTGGATTTTTAACTTTTTGATATTTTCTTCCCCAACTTTGACTATCTCGGGTGAAAAAAAAAAATGTACTGAGCTATAACTTTACATTACATAAAAAAATTGCTCATTTCATAAAGATTTCAGAAAGGTGCCACACTTACTGTTTCGAATAGAAAAAAAAAGTTATAACCGCTTTTGTGGGTAAAGGACTGAGACACGCTAGAATGTATTTAATAGATTTAAATTGAATTTGCTCTTGTTACCGTCAAATGACATGCTAAATAGTACAAAGGTACATTATTACCTGCTCCTGATATTATTTTGTGTTACTTACCGGAATAAGTGAAAGTGGGTTTTGTGAAATTGGACCCTTCGAACATTGTGTTATTAATACTATGACAGAGAACACGAGTATACGTCGCATAAATATGCGGATATTCACCTAATTTACGGTGAAGCTTGCTGTAATGCCAGAGCTGCTCAAAGACTCTATGCAGAGCGATACCCCAATCGTCGACATCCGGGTCGAGAAGTATTCGCCCGGACCCATAGAGAAATATATGAAGGTAAGTGATTTTTACACCTTTCTTGTTTGCTTGCTTGTTAACTATAATTTTTCACTTTTTTAAGGTCGCATACCTGGAAGGCGTGGCGGCGAAACAGGACGTCCTGCAACGGTAGATGTTGAAGCTGTGTTAGAGGAAGTGGAACTAGGTCCATCGACTTCAGTGAGAATGATGGAAAGACGGACGGGAATACCAAAAACTACAGTTCACAAAGCTTTAAAAGACCATCGATTTCATCCCTACCACATTCAACGTGTTCAGGCTCTACAGGAAAGAGATTACATGTCGAGGGTTAGATTTTGCCGTGAAATGTTGCGAATGCATGCATCAGACCCCAACTTTTTTAATAAAATAATTTGGAGCGATGAATCATCATGCAAACGTGATGGTTATTTTAATTTACATAACCTTCACAGTTGGCAGATAGACAATCCTCACGAAATGAGAGAAGATCGTTCGCAATACCGGTACAAAATAAATCTATGGTGCGGTATTTTTAATTGTCAGATATTGGGACCTGTGGAACTGCCGCCAACGCTCAACTCTCACAGTTATTTAGAGTTCCGTCAGGAACGGCTTCCAACTCTTTTGGAAGATGTACCCTTAAACCTGCGGCGAAGACTATGGCTGCAAAATGACGGGTGCCCTGCTCACTACGGGCGTGAAGTAAGAGCTCATTTAGACGAAACTTATCCTCGCCGATGGATTGGACGATACGGGCCAATCACGTAGCCCGCTCAATCGCCAGACCTGAATCCATTAGATTTTTTCTACTGGGGCTGTCTTAAGGACAAAATTTATTTAAAAACAATTCAAAACGGAGAGCATTTGCGGGAACAAATAAATGGAGCTGCTGCTGAGATAGCCCAATTGAGTTTAAGATCTCTAAAAGCGTCTTTTCTTAAAAGGTGCCGAGCTTGTATTAGAGTAGAAGGTCGCCAATTTGAGCATATTTTATCAATAAATGAATAAATTTTTCTTCAAACAACTCATGTATATCTTATTTCACGTGAACCCATCCTTCACACAAAATATTGATAGATATAGCCCTTGTTATAGGCTCTAGTCCGAATTCCGGTAAGTAACACAAAATAATATCAGGAGCAAGTAATAATGTACCTTTGTACTATTTAGTATGTCATTTGACGGTAACAAGAGCAAATTCAATTTAAATCTATTAAATACATTCTAGCGTGTCTCAGTCCTTTACCCATAAAAGCGGCTATAACTTGTTTTTCTATACGAAACAGTAAGTGTGGCACCTTTCTGAAATCTTTATGAAATGAGCAATTTTTTTATGTAATGTAAAGTTATAGCTCAGTACATTTTTTTTTCACCCGAGATAGTCAAAGTTGGGGAAGAAAATATCAAAAAGTTAAAAATCCAGAAATAGTCCTAATTTTATGATGGTTCCTTAATATATTTTAACTACATTGCATTTGAGTATGGAGAGGCAACTATCTGGAAGTATTTTACATAAAAAATTTACTAAGTATTGGGCGGTTTGTAGTTGCAGTTAAAGAAAACACATGAAAAGGCACGATTTTTTTTAAATTCGAAAAAATGTAAATATTTCAAACACGGTGACACTTTTACCTAAAAATTTTTTGTTTATCAGGGAGCTCACCCCCCCCACCTACCTTCCCCTAAAGTTTGGCACGTTACTTCTGGGACACCCTGTATATGATTACATTAAAAATATAGAATAAACGAGAATAAGCTCACATATGTAGGTGCATTGGTGCTCGTGTGCGCTTTTCTCTGAACTAACAAGCGTATTTTTCACTGCTGCTTGCCCGCGCCAGCAAAGACCTTGCTCGTCGTCGTCGTGTACGCTGTGGGGCCCATTGGCATCTTTGTATGTTACTCGTACATACCTAAGTACATTTTGTTCTTCGTCTGAGTTATTGACCCCTCCCAAGCGAGACTTTGCCAAATACTCTTGCAAGTTGCAATTTAATTTTTTTTTTTCAATTTATAATCGCAACGTCTAAGACATTTGTTTAAAGTGCGCGTTTTTTTTTTTTTTTGGTTTTTTTGTGAAGTGCAGTTTTCGTGATACTTCAACGTGCGGACTATTCGAAATGGAACGCGATGATTGTGCTTTGAATCTCATCGAGAAAAATAACCAGTAAGTTGAGGTCAAGTGGGTGTGACGGTGTGATATGAAAAGTATGCAAAATGAGAGAATTGTGTGCTCGTTCAATGCAAAGGTAGTGACATTCTTTGAGTTTCTGCATCTTCAAGTGGGAGGAATCTGTATGAAAAGATGTAATTAAAATAAAGTTGTCTTCATTGTGTCAAAGAAATGATAGAATTGTAAATTATGAAAGTTGCGTATACAGCATAAGCTCCCTTGGGCGGCCGCTCCCCTTCAGTCAACTTTTATTAGCCAAATAGAGCTTCGCTCAAGGAGGTGTAGCTAATTTTAAAAGTTTTTTAAGTGATTTTATGCTACATCGTTCAAACAAAAATGAGTATGTATATTAGGGTGCATCACTCTCCATACAAAAAATGACGATAGGTACTGTTTTTCCACTGGAACTATAAAATCTATAATATTTTAACCGATCTACAAATAGGTCCGAAAATCGAGTATTATTATTAATTTATAAATTTATTTTTAATCAATTTTTTCCAATTGTTTAAGCTGGGAAAACCTGCACAAAATTGTTTAAAAATTTTCTCAACGAAATTAAAATATGGAGATTTTTTTGAGGTACATACATATATTCAAATCGGTCCCGTTCACACAAATCTTGATATCTATACCCGAGCGCACCTGTGCACAAGGGTATATTAACTTTATTCACATAACGGTTGTTTGTAATAGCAAAAACGAATCGATATAGATATAGACAAATGTATACATAAATGCTCAGAATGAATAGAGAAGTCGATTAAGCCATGTCTGTCCGTCCGCCCGTGTACACGATAACTCGAGCAAAAATTTAGATATCTCAACGAAATTCGGTACGTAGGTTTTCCTTAATCCAAGGTAGGTTGGTATTGAAAATGGGCGAAATCGGACTGTAACCACGCCCACTTCCCATATAACGGTAATTTCCAGAAATACGAAAACTGCAATATTTTCGTAACTACTGACGACTATTCACTCAAAATTGATATTTAAAATAAATTTTAGACGAAAAATAGGAATATTATAAATTTTTGGAAAATGGGCGTAGCCACGCCCCCTTATGGTTACATGTATATATCTTGGTAACCGCTGCACCAATTTCTTCCAAACTTGGCACAGTTGTTGGCCTTGGTACAGCACACCAAATGGTCTGAAAATTTTTAAAATCGGACATTAACCACGCCCACATCCCATATAACGGTAGTTTAGAGAGATTCAAAATCCTCGATAAATGAGTAAATATTAAAGCTAATTTATTCAAAATTTATGCTTGCAACAATTCTTTACCAAGAAATACGTTTATGATAGAATTTTGGAAAATGGGCGTGGCACCGCCCACTTATGATCACATATATGT